TTTTTTCTTTTTTTTTTTTTTGTCTTTTGTGGTTTTTTTATCTTTTCTCATTTTCCTTTTTTACCTGAGTTAAGATATGCAATGCTGGGGGAGGGGGCGGCTGCAGCTGGGGCCGCTTCTTTAGTCTAATTTTCTTTCCAAACCCCCTTCCCCCTCAAAGAAACTGATTTAGGCTTTTTTTTTATTATTTTTAAATCGATATGCAAAAAGAAAAATAAAGTGGAAAGTCACCCGCTCTCAAAAACAAAAATAAAGGGGGGGGGGGGGAAGGAAAAGGGGGAGAGGGAAAATAATTAAAAAAAACCCCAAAACAACCCAAAATAGTGACTGTACAATGCAAAAAATCACTAAGAAAATCTAAGCCCGCCCTGGGCATGAAAATTCCCCCTTGGAATTTCTCCTTGCGGGGAGCTGGGCTGGACCTCAACAGCAGCAGGAGCTGGACGGACCCCCCCAGACCTCCCTAAAGGGTCCATGGAGCCACCAAGAACCCCCACGGAGCCACCAAGGGGATTCCAGCACGGAAAAAAAAGGCCGAAAACAACAAAACCAGCTGGAAAAACCCCAAATCCCCTGAGATCGCCACTTCCCCGAGTGAAATTAAAAATAAAGCAGGGGGGTCCCACCAGCCCGGACCCCCCCGGGCACCTGGGGAAGGGGGAAAACCCTGTGCTCCAGGTGGGAACCTGAGAATGGAGATACCGAGGGGGGCGGGGGTTTCGGTATCGGGTCGGATTGTGTCTCACGCAGATGTGGGTGAATTTGGGGGGGGGGGACGGTAAAAAATGAGATTGTGAGGCTTAAAATAAATCCTCGGGTCCTTCGGGTCCTCCGCGACCTCTGGAGCGTCCCACAGCCCTGAGCATCCCATCCTCTGGATCCTGCTTATTTGTGGAGGAAATAAGCCCAAAGTGGCTTTAAACAGTAGTTTTATGCGGGGGAAGGAAAAAAAAAAAATTAGGATTTACCGGTGGGGGAAGGAGCAGAGCTGGACCCAACCACCGATAATGAGAGGAGAAAGGAGATTCCAATGTTTTTCCAAGCTCCCATTTTCCCTGATGAAGACTAATATATATCATTTGCATGTTAAAAGTTTGATTCTTTTTTCGTTTAGAGAATAAAATAGAAGCTATTTACAACAAAACAATCAAAAACAACCTCTTAAAATCCTGCAGAGTGGAGTTCCCAAAAAAAAAAAGGAGGGAAAAGGATGGAAATGAATAAAATATCTCCCTATTTCCAATTTTTTTTAGGATTCTTGGGTTTTTATCCTTTAGAATTCCGGGGGGTTTCGCTAGCGCTCGCGTCAGCAGGCGTCCGTGCGTCTGTCTGGAGGTAACACGAGTTAAAAAATAATAATAATTATAATAATAATATTAATAAATGTACAGTGCAAAGTGTGATGTGAGTGAGGTAAACGGTCCCGGAGCGGCGCAGCCGGACAGCCGGCGGCTCCGGCAAAACCCCCCGGGCTAAAGCTTTTCTGCCTGGAAAAGGAAAATCCAACAACACGGGAACAAGGGCAGGGTCTGGTGAGACCCCGATGAGACCCCAGAGAAACCCTGGCAAGACCTCGGGCGAGACCCCAGTGAGACCCTGGTGAGGTCCCAGTGAAAACCTGGTGAGATCCCAGTGAAATCCCATTGAGACCCCGGCAGGGCCTCGAGCGAGACCCCCGTGAGACCTGCTGGGACCCCGGTGAGCCCCCGGCCGGCTCCGGGGCTCCGGGGTGTTAAGGCGAAGCGCTGTTGGAGGTAGAGCTGGGGGGCACAGCCAGGCTGGCCGTGGTGGGGGGCACGTTCCCACTCCCGCTTCCCACCCCGCTGCCGCCGCTGCCGCTGCTCCGGCTGCCGCCGCTGTTGCCTTTGCTGTAGGCAGAGGAGGAGGAGGAGGAAGAGGAGGAGGAAGGGCCGGGCGTCTGGGCGAACAGCACACCTGGGGAGAGAGCGGGGTCTGAGCTGGGGGTGTCGTGGCTGCCGTGGAACGGGGTGAAGGGCGGTGGGAGTGGTGTGGCCCTGGGGGCTGCTGGGGCCGGCGGTGGTGGAGCAGCCCCTGCCCACGGCAGTGGGGTCTGGGGGAGCCCCTCACCCGTGTAGACGATCCCGTTGATCTCCACCGACATGCTGATGCTGTTGGTGCCGTTGCTGCTGCTGGTGGCGGCGTCCGGGCGGTTCTCTGCCGGGGAGAGCCGGGTTACGGAGCCCGCCGGGGCCGGGGGCTTGGCCGGGGCCGGGGGCTCGGCCGGGGCAGGGGGCCGGGGCCGGCACTGACCTGGCGAGCGCGTGCCCTGGCTGTTGATGCGGATGCTCATGGGCAGCTGGGCCGTCATGGCCAGGAGGTTCTGCTGCAGGGCCCGCTGCATCAGCCGCTGCTGCTCATCCGTCACCAGCGCCAGCTTCTTCTCCGGGGGCTCTCCCGACTCCAGCTTCTCCCGCAGCTGCTCCAGCGCCGCCGCCTGAGCGGCCGCGGCCACCTGAACCGCCGCCGCCTGCGCGGCCACCACAGGGTGCCCGGCCAGAGACACCGGGAGCCGGCTGGGCATGGAGATGGGGATGGGGGAGTCCTCCTCTGCAGGGGGAGCAGGTGTCAGGCATGGGGGCGCAGGGACAGGCAGGTGCCACCACCCCGGGGGTGGCCCTGGCCCTGGCACAACGGTTTGGGGCCCTGCTGTGGTGGGGGCTGCCTGGCACCTCCAAAGGTCAGAGATGGGTCACCGGAGTCATGGTCCCCGAGCTGAGGCCCTGGAGCCCAGGGAGGGGAGAAGAGCATCACCCCCCTGCCCCCTGCCCCCAGCTCTGCCCCTTATCCCTGGTGCCAGGAGGGGGCTCAGCCTGTGGCTGGACCCCACAGCAGCAGGACCCTGCGGCAGCTGGACTCTGCAGCAGCCATTACCTTTCTTGATCTTCTGCCCGGGCGCAATGGCCCCGCCGTTGGTGGCAGATGCCAGCCCCAGCGCTGGCACCGGCAGCTTGGGCGAGGAGAGGAGGCCATGGGTGCCGCTGGGCGAGTAGGCGAAGAGGGAGCCGCCGAAGCCCTGCCGCCGGCCCTCCCGCCGGTTGCTGTCGATGGCCGCCTGCAGCTCGTTGGGGTTGCTCAGCCCACGCTTCTCACACTCGTAGGGGTACAGGTACTTCATGTACCTGCGGCCACACGGGTTGGGTTGGTGGGGGTGATGCAGCGGCTGGACGCCCCTTCCCATGTGCTGCCCCCTCCCTCCCTCCCTCTCTCCCTCCCCATCGCTCCCACATAGGGCAGAGGGACCCCCAGGGGCTTGCCCCCCGCCCCTCCCGCCGGGCCCCCGCTCACTGGGTGCGCAGGGTGAAGGCCGCACTGGTGATGGAAGTGGGCAGGCTCAGCCCCTTGGTGATCTCCCGCCACAGCTTCTTGTTGATGACCTCCACCAGACCCCCTTTCTCAGTCACCAGCGTGTACAGCATGTACAGGTCCAGCACCTGCTTGGCCATGATGGGGATCCGGTTCACGGGGGTCCCTGGGGAGCAGCGGGAGGAGAGAGCGGGTCTGGGGTGCTGCTTTGTCACCCGCAGCCACGGGGCAGCTGCTGAGACCCCTGCGGGGCAGCAGAGGGGTGGGGGCTCCTGCTCCTCCCTCCCCTTCCACCATCCCCTTCCTCCCCTCCAGGCCCCCCCGCTGAGATCAACCATGAACAAAGGAAACAGAAACTCGCAGTTTCCAGCCACAGCCCCGTCTTGGCTGAGCCGGTTCCTCGGGCTGAGCCAGCACCCAGCAACGCGAGTTATTTATAATGAGGGTGGCACGATCTTGCTATGAGGGTCCCACGAGCTGGGGGGCTCGTCCCTCCAGCCACAGGGAGGGGGTTGGAAGCACCTGCTCCCTCCTGGGGGTCCCTGCCCTCCCAGCCCCGCGGTGAGGGGGCCCTGGGGGACCCCAGGGGCTCAGCCAAGGGGACCCTGGAGGACACAGCCGGCAACCCTGGCCCCCCCGCAGGGGCACACGTGCTTCCCCAGCGCTGCCTGACAAAGGGCAGAGCCAGCCCTGCGTCAGCACTTCCAGCGCTGTTTTCCACGCAGGAACCAGACCCTCGACCAGGCGCACGCTTGGCTTTCAGCCCTTCCCACCCTGGCCCCTCCGTGCCTCTCCCAGACAGAGCGAGGTGGCAGCGAGGGGCTTTGCCCCCGGCAATAACCCAGGGAAGAGGCAAAAGAGGGGCACAGCTGGGGGAGTTGCAGGGGTGGGGGGACCCTGTGGGGAGGAGCCGCAGGTCTGGGTGCGATGGGTGCAGGGAGAGGAGTGAGGGGGGGCCGCAGGCGCCAGATCCAGCCCAGCAGGTTTGACCCCGCTGTGCCGAGGGGTTAAAGATTAACCAGCAGCTCAGCCAGAGCTGTGACCCCAGGGCAGTAACAAGGGGCGAGGAAATGAGCCCCAGGAGGGGCATCGGGGGTGGAGGGTGGGCGTGTGGAGGGGCTCACCTCGCTTCTGCATGAAGCTGAAGAGGTCATCCAGGAACTCCTTCCTCCTGGGGTCACCATCCAACTCGTAGAGCTGCGCAGAGAGGAGAGAGATGCTCAGAAACTCCCTTAGCCCTTGTGTCCCCCTGTCCAGGACCCCTGGCTCTCACTGCAGCAGCCCTGTGGCTGCAGCCCTTCAGCTCTCAGGACACCAAATGGTCCCTGCACGGGGCCGTGGGGTCCCTGGGGTTCCTGGGGCTGGTGCTGACTTGTGTCCGTGCCCCGCTGCCACCATCCCCTGCCTGCCCGCTTGGAGCTGGGTCCCGGAGTGCCAGTGCTGAGATATCAGTGGTGCCAACGTCAGAGCAGTTCCCAGGCTGCCAACACCACGCTCAGCCCCAGCTCCTCCCAGGAACACTGATCCCGATTATTTTTAGCATTCACTGCATGCTCAGCACAGCAACGCTTCAGCACAGCCCCTCCTCTGCACCCACGGCACCAGAGAGAGCCGGGGCTGGGAGACACTGCCTTGTGTGCCATGGTGTGAGCTCATGTCACACTGGCACTGTGGAGACGTGTCCTGTGCCAGGGCAGGCAGAGCCGGGCCAGGGGCACCTTCGGCCGGGACCCCAACCCCATGAGCCCAGCACATTCCTGCCTGATTTAGGGCACAGGATCTGCTGTTTGGAGCGCCCGGCACACCAGAGGCACACCGGAGGCACACCGGAGGCACACCACACCATGCCACGCCACACCACACCACGCCACACCAAGTCGTGTGGCCTCTCCTGAAGCCCAGCACGGTCTCTGCCCGGAGGCTGGTGGATAATCCCCACCCCACCCCAGGAAGGGTGTCAGAGCAGGGGCTGGGAGGGCAGGCACTGCCCAGACGCCACAGGTCCCGCTTTTCTCAGTGACAACTCTGAACAACTGCCAGGAGGGCTGAGGGGTTGGGAGGGGGCTATAAATACCCTCCCACCCCGTAACACACCAGACACACACCACAGGGCTGCTGCTGCTGGTCACCAGGTCACCGATGTCCCACTCCCTCTGTGGGCACACCCTGTGCCACCGGGACCTGTGGGAAGCTTGGGGGGGTGGGCATCGTCCTGGCTGTAAGCGAGGGGTGCAAACCCCCCCTCCTGCCATCCCCCAGGGAGGATCCGGATCCTGCAGGGCTGGACTTGCCCGCCGGTGCTGATCAAAGGGATCAGTGGGGCCGCATGATAAATGGGGCTGGGCGCCGCAGGGGGACCATAAACCCCCCCAGTTCCCCTGGGAACCTGGGCAGGCTTGGCTGGCCCCCAGCACACCCCCAGGGCAAGGGCAGGAGCCACCGGCACCGACTGCACCATCGGACAAGACCCTCAAAGCTCTTCTCCCACCCCAGCACCGCAGCAGGGGGTGCGGTGTGGGACTGTGGTGTGTGGGGAACGAGCCATGGTGCAGCAGCACTGCTGTGGTTTTTTGGGCTGAGCTGCACCGGCTGCTCGTGCCGGCCGAGGGACGTTGGGCCAGCGCCAATCCAGCCTCCCCTGTTCCCTAGAGTGGCTCCGAAAGCCGCGCACAGAGAAAGGGCTTCCCCAGCACCCGATCCCACGGGGTGTGGAGCGTGGAGCCATCCTGGGGAAGGACTGAACGCGCCGGTTCATCCACTGCCATGACCCCCAGGGCTGCAAACCCCCCCGGGCTCAGTCCCGAGGGGAATGGACACGTTTAAGAGGATGAAAGAAAATTAACCGTCAGCTGAGGAAAGCGTGGCCGGCCGGGACGGGGGATTAGTGGCCGTGGCGGGCGCCTGCCTCGTGTGCCGTCCTTCTCCACACCCTGCTAACCCCAGTGGTCCCACACCGAGCTCTGCCCAACGGGGATGAAGCCATGGGGGTCCCCAGAGCCAGCAGGCAGAGGGATCCCTGTTCCTGCCCCGTGTCCTCGCGGCTCTGTCAGCACACCCACCGTGGCTGCTGGGCAAAGGACATTGCACAAGCTGCTGCTGACGGTTACTGGCAAGACCTTGACAACTCCTCTGTGCTCAGCAGCTGCTCACCGGCCACTGCTGCACCAGAGCAGAGGGAAGGGCTTCCCCCCCAGACCTGGTTCAGCTCTGCCACTGCCAGCAGAACTGCCAGCAGTGGGAAGCTGCCCAGGATGCTCAGCCAGCAACACCACGGGGCGAGGACGTGCCCAGCCATGACTGGGACATGCTCGGTGTGCACTGCAGTGTGGGATGGAGCAGCTTCTGCTGAGCTGCCTTGTCCACCCTTGTGCCTCCCATCCCCCCTCATCACCCCTGCCCTCCCCTTGCCTCCAGGCACAGGTAAGGCAGGCAGGGAAGTGGAAGGGGACAGAGACAAGTGACTCTCAGCAGCCCCTCGCAGGATTTCCTTGCACTGACGCCACTCCAGCTCTGCCAGGACGTTGCCACTGGCACCCCGTGAACCCCAACGGCAGCGCAGGACAGCTGGGACAGTGGGGCTCAAAATGCAAATCGGGGAACAGAAACATGTTCTCGTTTCAGCGAAACCCAGCGTGCAGCTGAGCTCAGCACGGACAGGCAGCTGCTGGCACCGCTGCACCGAAATCGGCAGGTGCTGAGTCTTGTCCCTGCCCAGTGCCCGTGCCCTGCCTGCCGTGCCCGAGCCCCGTTTCTGCTCGGCACGAAGCCGGTTCCTCGCGGGGACTCACGGTGTCTCAGTGCTCGGTGCAAAGGTACCTGCGCGGGCGAGGCCGCCCTGCACCACTGAGTCAATAGATTTATGTTTCGTAATTAGGGAGGTGGAAACGACTTAATCCATAACACAGCTGCCCCAGGAATATCCTCTTACCGCGGGGTCCCCAGGGCAGAGCGTGGTGCCAGGGGATGCCATGGCACAGCGACCCCCGCCTGGCCAGGGGCAGGAGATGGCCCTCACCTCCCTGAGGGCCCCCTGGGCTGGGGGATCCAGCTCCACGCACCCAGTGCTCCCCCAGCCCAGGGCAAACAGCCGGTGCCAGCAGCACGGCCAGCTCTGGCCACGGTGCCCGGCCCACCTGGCCGCAGCGCAGCCCCCTTGGCCCCAGCCCCCGGCCGGCTGAGGACACGGAGCCAGATGGCCGTTGCCAGCAGATCTATAATTAAGTGGAGGAGGAATTAGGCAGGCGGTGGGCGGGTGGCCCTGACCCCGGCCCAGCGCCCCGGCAGGATGCCGGCCCGGCGTTTGGTGTGTATGACCGGATTAATGTTTCAAACCAGATTACAGGAAAATCCCAACCCGCTGGCTTTCAAAGGGCAGGCGGGAGGCGGCCCCTCGGCAATGCCAGGAATGCGGGAGAGCCCTCGGCACGGGCGTGGTGCGTGCAGGGGGTCTGACCCCCCACAGCCCCCTCCCAAGCTGGGGCAAAGGGGGCAATCACAGGCGGGAGGGGAAGTGCCATTTCGAAAGGCTCCGGAATGCTGGGGGTCCTGCTGGAGCCAGGCTCCCCATCGGCAGGAGTCCCTTGTCCCTTGTCCGCCCCACGAGGCGTCATAGAGGAGCCCGTGTCCGAGTTAAAAACACTTCTCCCTTCCCCCATTCAGTTCCGGGTTTTCAGGCCTCGGGGATTAATTTTCAAGTTTCTTTTCCATCATCAGGAAGTGGCGACACTCTCAGTTTTCCTCCTTCTCTCCGAAACCAGTTTGGGACGTGCACGCCGTGAGCCAGGACCGGGGACAGACACCCCCAAAGGCCACTGCAGCAGGGATGGGGGCTGGTGGCAGCCTCCCCCTTCCAGAGGCTGAAAAACCCCTAATTCCTGAATTTAGGGAAAAAACACAAAGCGAGCAGTGGCAGGGAGAGCCCACCCTGTTGTGACAGGTAGCAGGGCCGGGGCTGACAGGCCAGGGAGCTCCTTCTCTCCTTTTCTTCCTTCCTTCCTTCAGCAGCCCCCAGGGATGTGTCCCTTTGTCCCGCGGACAGCCGAGGGGCCACGAGGGGCTGGGGAAGAGCCTGCGCACTCTAACGAGTTCCTTAACGAAGAATAAACACGCTTATGGGGTGTTTCCCATCCTGCTCCCAGCCGGCACGCAGCACCCGGCCTCCAGCACGCCAGGACCCGCAGTGGGGTCGGGGAGGGCACTTATTCATAAAAAGAAAGTAATTTGTAAAAACCAGAGCAAAGGGCTAACGAGGGCCCCAGGCCGCGGCGTTTCGGTGGCACTTGGGATGTGGTTTCCTGTAAAGCAGTGGCTGAGTCAGGGCTGGGGGTGCCCGAGGCTGCAGCCCCTCTCTGGGCATGGGCCCCGCCCCAGCATGGGGTGCTGGGTTTGCTGGGGCCGATCCCTCCGACAAGGGCAAAGGGAGTGTCCACCCCAGCACAGATCCCTCTTCAGATAAAGCGCTTGGCTTAGGGACAGGTCACCTCTGGCTGTCCCCATCCCTAATCCTCTGCGAGCCCCCCAGGGAACAGCCCACCTCGGGAAGGGGCTGCTGGGGGCAGGAACGTGTGCCCCCTCCCCAAAAGCCCCCAACACCTTGCTCTTGGGGGACGGTGCTTGCGGGAGCCTCGCCCACCCGGCCGGGCCAGCAGTGACTCCACTGACCGGCCCGGCGGGATTCCTGTGCTGGAGCAGGCCGGGCTGGGGGGCCGCTTCCGTGGCGGCAGCTGGAGGGGGGGCCACAGAGCTTCCCATCGGCACCATTGTTCCTGCAGGTTCCCAGCATTGTCCCCTCTATGGGGGACACGGCTTGGTCACAGGTGACTGTCCCCACTGGTGGCCCCTCCTCGGGCTGTGGGACCTGGAGGGCAGTAGATCCACTGGTGCTCCCGTGGCTCAGTGACAAACCCAGCCCTGATCCCTCACCATCGGCCCAGAAGTCCAGGAGACCTGAGACCCCTGGGGTCCCCTGGCCAGGCTGGGGGCAGCTGTCTCTGGGTGACCCTGGGGGTACATGGGCGGTGTCCCAGCACGGCGGGTGTCAGGGCACGGCGGGTGTCAGGGCATGGCGGGTGTCAGGGCACGGCGGGTGTCCCCGTGCGGCAGAGGGGATGCTGAATGGACGAATTAGTCACCATTTAACCTCCCTGACCCCCCATTGTCCGTGTGCCGCCAGCCGCCCTCCCCACCGCGGCACAGGC